TTCTGCTCAACCTACCAAATTAACTCAATCTCGCCCACATAATAAATTTATTGTCGCCCAACGCATTTAATCTCGCTCGGGTGGGGGAGAATAAATGCAGCAAATTATGTTAAGATTTACGTTACCAGCAGTTTTAACAAAAAAAACTTTTTGCCGTGACCCCCATTATTTTTTCATTAAATTGGGATGATATATTTAAAAAATAATTGAAAAAAAAAAAATCATAAAATTTCGTAAGGATATATATTAAGAGCATAATCTTTTTGAATGCTTACAAAGGAGTATTTTTTATGTATTTTTATTGTATATATTATTGAGGAAATTATTTTATAAATTAATTTTTAATTTATAAAATAATTTCCTATTTTATAAATTAAAAATTAATTTATAAAATAGGCAATTTTTGTTTTTTGAGGCCTTTTTATGGGCCAGAGCCTAAAAATGACTTAAAAAAAACCTTTAAAATTTTTGGGGGCCCCTAAATATGCGGGGCCCGGGGCTATATCCCCCCTTTGATTGGCACTGTCTTCCTCTGTTTATTGTTATTAAGGAAATTAATTAAAAAATAAATTGCTATGGCTCTGCGTTCAGTGATTGTATAAAAAGCTCATGTTCATCAAAACCAAATAAATTAGTTAGATAAAGAACAAAGAATGTATCGCAAATAAGTAAACTTTGTCTGCTATTGCATTTTATTTTCCTGATAATTATTGATAAGAAAGAATTTAGAATTTTATCTTTTTATGCTATGTTTTTTTTAGGAATAATTTTTTAGTGTTTAGAAATAATGCATATTTTATTTACGACTTTTTATTTAGTGGTTGTGTGGTTGCACGAAAAGGCACAAAAAACCTCCATAATCGAACCAGAGGAAATCATTTTTAGAAAACATTGGTCCAAAACGACCTCAATTATTTTTCTAGATGAGCACGATTCTCACAACTTTATTGATCTAATTGATATTGCTATCCAGAACCAGATACATATAGATGAAATGCCTTGACACACATCAAACTGGCTTCAACCATGCGACCGCACTTTATTCAAGCCACTGAAGGATTATTATCGCTCTACAGCACATGAACTGATGGGTCTGATTTCCAGGAATTATTTCTTGTCGTTCAAATTTTGCAGGGATACTTGCGTCAGCCTGGGAAAAAACAATGAATTCTAGCAAAATTACATCTGGGTTCAAGTCGTGTGGAGTTTATCTCAGGTTATTCCAAGTGAGGCATATTTACCAAACTATCCACACATAGCTGAGGATATATAAGTTAATACAACTGAAAACAATTGTTTTTTGGTTAGTATTGTACTATCTTTTTTAATATTTAATTAATTTTCTTTAACTAATACTACTATACAATAAAAATTATTATTTAAACTTTAGCTAGCAACTGTTACTAATATTTTATGTACAAATTGATAAAAATTCTGAATGAGGCATAAAGTTTAGTAACTTGCATCTCAATAGTATTATTTATTATTTTCTTAGGAATTCCAATCATCAATTGTTCAAGAAATTAATTTTTCAGATGTTGATGCTTCTATTGATACTTCTATAGTTGCTAATTATCTAGAACAATTACAAAATGGCACTGAACAAGATAGAGTAACTCACAGTTCGTTACAAAGCAACACTTCTATTTTGGAAGCAGAGACTGTTGTTTGTAATAATCAGCTTGCATATTTAGTCAATTCAGTTGACTGCATTGTGAATAGTTTTACCAATCTTACTAAGCAAAAAAAAAAAAGAAATCTTTGAACCGTCAAACTTTAATTCTACTACGGTTTCAGATTTTCTGTTTGGTACCTTCCTACCCCCTGGTAAGTCAATCATTTTACAGTTTTTTTTTTTTTTTCATTTCATTTGATCAAGTTATCAATAGTTGCACAGCAATAATGCAACTTTTATTAAATGTTTAGTTTTAAAATAATTCAAATTTTTTAAAATTATTTAAATACTTGTTCTTTTATTGAATATATATGTTTTTATCAATGCAGGAGATGGAGATAATGATGTCTTGGCATATCCTAAGGCCACCGCACGGAAAAAAATAGTGAACAGAGAAGCTCAGCTTAAATACTTCGTTTTAACTTCTCAAGAAACATACTCAGCAAAACTGAAACATCAACAAGACAAAAAAAAGATTTCTCGTTCTTGTTGATATTTCAGCAAAACTGAAATATCAACAAGAACGAGAAAAATGCGAAAGAAAACAACTATTGTTAATGCTGCTAAGCGACTCAAAGAAAAAGAAGAAAAAAAGTTATTGGCTAAAAAAAAATAACTAGAAAATCGTGCCAACAAGTCTTTAGCAACAACAAAAAAGAAGTTCATTTCATTATCATCTGAATTGAAACCATTGGTTGATCCCGAGAACAATACTGACTAATATGTACTAAATATTTGACAATATTTTTTTATGTAACTTAAAATACATACAATTTCGTCTTATCTATACAAACTTTTTTATTATTTTTATTTAAAAATGCTCTAATGGTCTTATTTGTGATAAGACCTATTGGCCTTATCACAAAGTACCGCAACAAGGGTTTAATCATTTAATGAGTTGGTTCCCCATTTAGAGCTTTACCGATAACGTATAAGTGTTTCGAGCAGTATTCGAACTCGCAAAACTTATACAATGAGTACCATGCTCTAATCAGTACGCCACGGCTGTTCAATATAAAAACTAAACTCATTACTGGGGCAAAAAGAAGACAATATTTATCATATCACAACGGTTCGTAAGCATTAATGTGTCGAAACTATACTTTATTTAAACATTTTACAATTACAATTAAGATTGATCTCAGAATCCAGATTCAAGTCAGAATCTAGAAAGAAAGTTCGCATTCACAAAAACCCAATGTTTTATACTTTTCTAACTAAAATGGTGCAATTGAGCATAGAAATTAACTAACGAGACTTAATCTCACTTACCTGTATATAACGTTGCTCTACGCAAGTATAAGTTTTTTTTTAATTTACACAGTGGGCGACTTTAAACCAACATGGCAAGATTGAGTTTAAGTGGGCGAGAATCAGTGCTTTTGACACACTGTACAATTTATAATGGTACTGCCAACTACTCTTATCAAATCTAAATAATTTTATATAGTTTTGTAGCTGAAGAAACAAGCTATCTAATGATGTATAGTTCAGCTGTGCACGTTTAATAATGGCCTGTCAACATCAATTTCAGTGCGGATGTGGGCGAGGTTTGATTAAGTTACCCGATTAAACTTTTTTCCAAACGAATTACTATTAAACTTAAACAACGAACATTCTCTGAAAATAAAGCTAAAACCTACAATAATCAAAATCAATAACTATAAGGAATTTTTTTAAATTTAAATAAAAATAATAATAAAAAATGTAACTTAACTTTTAATACAAATAGATAAAAAAAAATAATAGTATTCAAAACAAGGTATATATGTAACACATACATATATACCACGTATGTACCTAATTTTTTATGTGTATTACACGTCTAGAAAAAGGTACTCGATGACAGGGTTGACTTATATCTTCTGCGAGCTTCCTATAACTACAAACAAGTAATTTTTTTTTCGCAATCTTACAAAAATTTCGTTTTTATCATATTAATACATAAATATTATTTTAAAATGTGGTAAATAAACTTTTAGTGAAACATCTTCACACTCCTCCAAAAAATCAGCAGATTTATTTTTATTTATTGTATTCTTTATTTTTGTTGGAAGAATATAGAGATATATTTCTCAGATTATTTTTTCGTAACGTTATTATATTGTTGTATTTGGTATTTATTTTAATCATGTCTCGGAGTTGAATGCAACTATATTTTTATTTACTTCGTATATTTTGAACTTTATGTTATTTTTCAACATAAACAACCCGCGTTATGTAGTAACTTATTTGATTTACTTTATAATTTACGTAAATTATAATTTACTTAAGTTAAAACTTTATTAAAAATATTTCGATCGTGGATTTTTTGAGTTTCAAAAATCTGTAATTTTCAAAATAATTAATTCGGACTAATTTCAGGTAGTCCTGACCTTGTACTAGTTTGTTTAAACTCTATTTTAAAATTTTATATGCTTTAAAAGTAGATTCATTTTCTAATATAACTTTAAAAGTTGTAAAAAAAATTTAAAAACATTTTTCATAAAGAATAAGTAATAAATTATGTATTTATATAAAAAGAAACTAAAAAAAATGATTAAGCTATCGCCTAAACATGGGCGCAGCTAGGTTTACGACTATTGGGAGAAGATGATTCGAGACACGTAGGAACAAAGCCTAATTACATTCAATTTTGACTTAATTAAGTTTTATTTTATTTTATTAAAAACTTATTCATTAGAAAACAGTCTAGATTTAGAGTTTGAGTTGTGTTTGTATAACTTATTTTTTTTTTCTCCCTCCTATAGGTTTTTTTTTTTCTCCTTCTTTTAAGACTTTTTAAAACTCTTTTAAACACTAACAAGATCATAGAAGTAGATCTAATTAATAGTCTGAGGATTCCATGAAAACTTCCATGATCTTTTAGCCACAATACAGTTCCCGTGTGCTTTTTTTCTAAATTTTATTTAAGTTTTCCTGCTAGACTCTATTCCGACGTTGTCTTTCAGGTCCACGCGAAAAAGTTCTTCTATTATTTGCAAGACTGTCTGCCTAAACCTAAACCTTCAGTCGACGTTTGCGCACTCACTGTACCTATCCCTATTCAAGTCAGTCGATTTATGTACCTTTCACTTTGCTTATCCCAATTTTACCTAGCTCTTATAAATCTAAGCTAGCGAACGCAAAAACACTCAACGTCTTTTTACGATTAACATTGCAAATCGTAAAAAGAAAAAAAAAGAAACGCCTTGTTCAAATAACAAAAAAAAAAGAACTTTATAAAACTTGATAAACTAAGTAAATAGAAAATAACTAATGAAGGAAAATACGTGAAAAGAAGTACGAATTAAATTTGAATTAAAATGCGTAAAAAGCCACATACCAGTTTTATGTTGAGATTTGATTTATCATCATTCGGTAAAGGAGTATTCATAGCCATCATGACACAGTTTCCAGCAATGACTAACATTATAAAAGACTCAAACGTTTTAGAAGTGCAAATCGAAACACATGCTTTGCGAAATGGATTATCTGGCTTTAAAACAAATAAATGATTATGAGGATACAAGTTTTCTAAATCAACTGATTGCGCTCTCGCACTCACTGATGACCTTCGTCTGGCAGCCATTTTGGTTTGCTGTACTAGATTTAAAAATAAGTTATAGATGTAAAAATAAGTTATATGTCTATTATACTTATAATGCAAAATGTTTTTTAAAAAATAAAATAAAAGTTTTGAAAAAATAAATTAATTGATAACTTATTAAATAAACGAAATTTAACAACTTTTTAAACTTTTAAATTCTTAGTTGTATTTATACAATTAAATTAATATTCTTTTTTTAAGACGGATAAACTCTATATAGATACTATAAACTGTTTAATGAAACAATTATAATATATAAATTGTCATGCAACTTATACTCACGCACTCGCAAATATTAATTATGGTCGTTTCGGTTCATAAATTTAATTTACGAGCATGAGTTTAAACCGTCTTAAGAGCATTTTAAAAATTTATAAAGTCATGCTGCTTAAACTACGACCATGGACATTATAATCAATACATTGATTGATTCTGTTCAAGTTTTTTGAAACATTAAAAAGCTCTAAATAATTTATCATTGAATTAATTTAAATTAATTAAATCCATGTTTCAAATTAAATGAAATTAGAAGTAGTACAGAGTGAAGTGAAACAGACTAACAAGCACTACCAAAGAACCTCTATAATAAAGCAACTGTTCTAAATTATTTGTTATTATGAAAACAGTAATACAACAAACTTAATAGAAAATTTAAAGTAATATTTATAAATATCTATATTATGCATAATATTTTATTTATAACTATTTTAGCTTATTTCATTTGTGTGTGCATTTGTGTGTGTATATATATATATGATGTAAATATTATATTATATTCTACATTTAATAAAATATTTCTATTTTTGATGTTTTTTCTTTGAAATTTTTTAATTTTATTAACATTCCAAGATTCCAATTTGACAAAAACGTCCGTAGACGTTACAGAGGTAAGACAAACATATTAAACCCCCTCCCTCTCCCCAGCCATCCCCCGTTTTTTAATTTTTATTTGTTATCAACAAAAAATCTATACCTTAAAACTAAAAAAAAAATCACTGATAAGTATAAAAACTTTCAATGTAATTAGTCTTAAACAATCGTCGACCTTTAATAAATCTCGTAAATCTAAATTTGTCACAAGTTAGGTTTTCATTTATTTCCCACTATAGTATAAAACTTTTATAAACATATCATATAACATTATATAATCCTAACGAAGCAATTATAAGTTAAATCCTTACGAAGCTATTATATTTTTATTTACGTGTATCTTTGGTCACTATCTGGACAACTTTTGGCCACATTATTTGAATAATTTATGCTAACTTTCATGCTGTAGTTGCATCACTATGCCAATAAGCCAGCCAAAAAAACTTAAGTTATGCAAAAAAATAATTTTAAATATTTTCAATATAGGGTATAGTATGTCCTTTATTAAAAATATTAAATGTAACGGAGACCCGGTAAAAAATAAACTTCAAATGTCCAAATTATTATTGATAGACGATGTAGACATAGCTGTATAAACAGTTAAATGGCAAAACTTTTACTGCGTTTAAAGTAGAATTCTCTACTTTAGTCTTTTCAAATTAACATTTACTACTCACTTCTCGTAGAAAAGTATATATACTATCCATTTTAAAGTTATCTGCTAAAGTTTCTACTCTTTATTATACTCACCATTTTCTTACTTCTGAGTCTCGACCTCTTTAAATCTCTTATTCGCCTCTTACTTCCTAATAATAGAAATATATAAAAATAGACTACTAAAATAAATTTATATTTTTATTACACAGTTCGTTTATAAAAGAGTGTGCTGACTTTATTATTTATCCGTATTTTCTTTGTTGCCATGCCTGTTATTATGAACCTTTTTTCATGTAAATTTTCATCTTCATTTTGTTATAAGCATATATATAAGCAAAAAAAAATTATTTATTGTATAATAAAAAAGAAAAAAAGACTATGCATGAAACTGATTAGCAAGGTGTGTTAAAATGTGCTACAAAGTAAAAGGAGTTTATGGGTTGTTCATAAAGTACGTGCGCTCAAAGAGGGGAAGGGGATGTGTCTCTAAAAAGTGTACGGAAGCGTATGGGTGGGATGGGGGGAGGTTTAATTTAAAAGTACGTTCATTGATTTTCTAATTTATCACAATTAACCAGCTAATCAATAGAAAAGTTAAAATTCTGACTAAAAATCCTAGTTTGCCAACATAAAAAAATGTTTGGTATAGGGAGTAGAGGGTATAGTTTCCCTCAATGCACGCACATGCATGAGGGCCCGCAGGATTTTTTAATGTTTCAGATAGAAAACATTAAAGGAAGCATGAACTTTATTGGTGATGAATGGGAAGTCAAAATAAAGGGTGTTGATAATAAAATCGCAAAGGTAGTCGAGGAAATAACTAATGTAAAAAAATTACAAGGAAAAATCATTTCAGATAACACTGAACTCAAATCAAAAAGCGTAGACATTGAGAATAGAAATAGACGAAAGAACTTACGGATTGATGGACTCATTGAAGGTACAGATGAAAAAGATTGGGAAGACACTAAAAATAAAGTCAAAAAACTCTTTGTTGAAAATCTTGAAATTGCAAATGATATTGGATTGAACGTGCTCATCGAGTTGGTAATGGTGGTTCTGAACGAGTGCGAACGATTGTGCTAAAGTTGCATGACTTTGAAGATAAAGCGATAATTATGGATAAAGCGAACAAACTAAAAGGTACTAATATATATATTAATGAGGATTTTAGTGAAACAACTAGGAGAATTCGTAAAGAACTATTTGCACAAGCAAAAACTCATAGGCAAAATGGCTTTTATGCAAAAGTTCTATATAATAAATTAATAGTTCACGAATTTAAGCAAAAAAATATAGATGTAGTTGAAATTTTGCCGACTATTTAAAAATAAGCAATACTATTTATATGAGTTCTTGAATAAGCTTTTTTCTTAATAAATTTTTTGAAATTCTTGAATAAATTTTTTTGCTAATGAAGATTTTAAAAATTTAAATTTTGATTCTTTTGAGGATTTTCTTAACTTTTCTGAAGATAATTTAAATATTATTAAAGAAACTGAAATGAATTTAATAAATACATCATATTTTGATCCTTATAATTTTAAAATTTTGTCCATATGAAGAAATACAAATTAAAACAAAAGCACTTAATAACCCTTGGATGAATAAAACACTTTTAAAGTGTTCTAAAACAAAACAAAAACTATACAACAAATTCTTAAAAAATAAAAGTTCAGAGAATGAGAAAATATACAAAAATTATGTGTTTTTATGAACATCTTCTTAAAAAAACAAAAAAAATGTATTATAGTAAACAGATTAGCAATTCCAAGTTTGATGTTAAAAAAACATGGTCATTAATTAATGACATAATGGGCCGAAGTCAAATAAAAAGTTCAGTATTACCTCAAAGAATTAATATTATTAAATCAGATATACTTTGTCCTTATAAAATATCTAACGAGTTTAATAAATACTTTAAAAATGTTGAGATTAGTCTCGCAAACAAAATTATACCAATTTCTACGTCATTTAAGACATATCTAAAAAAATCAACTGATGAAACAATGTATGAAATGTAATTAACTTTTCTCGAATTTGACGCAGCTTATATTCTTTAAAAAAAAAAAAATCTCCAGGGTTTGATGAAATTCCCAGTAATATCCTTATATCTAACAAAAAAAGCATTACAAAACCTTTGTTCCACATAGTAAATCTATCTTTAGATCAAGGAGTATTTTCTTATATACTTAAACTTGCGAGAGTATACCCAATTTATAAAAATAATGATCGCGCCGACGTATCAAACTATAGACCCATATCGGTACTTTCTGTTTTCTCAAAAATCTTCGAACGTGTAGTTTATAATAGAATATTTGATTATTTTACAAAAAATAAATTTTTTAATCCAAAACAATTCGGACTTCAAAAAAAAACATTCAACAGAACATGCCATTATTAAATTAGTCAACCAAATAACTGATGGTTTTGAAAATGATAAGTTTACTCTCGGAGTATTCATAGATTTATCCAAGGCATTCGACACCGTTGATTACTCTATTCTGTTAGAAAAACTAAAATGGTACGGGGTATGCAATAAATTATATCATGGGATAAAAAGTTATCTATCTAATAGAAAACAATATGTTCAAAACAAGAAATCTGGAATACTGAATATTCTGTGTGGAGTGCCTCAAGGATCGATCCTAGGACCGCTCTTATTTTTAATTTATGTTAATGATTTTAATAATGCATCATTAAAACTAAATGCTATCATGTTTGCAGACGATACAAATCTTTTTTTATCTAACTGCAATATTAATCAACTTTATGCTGACATGAACATTGAATTAGAAAAAGTAAATGATTGGTTCAGGTCAAATAAACTTTCTCTTAAAATTAAAAAAACACAATATACCTTGTTTCATAAAAAAAAACAAGAAGAAAACCTTCCTCTAAAACTGCCAAAACTTATTATAAATTATAAACAAATTAAAAAACAAGATACTATAAAGTTTTTAGGAGTTATTGTGGATGATCATTTATCATGGCTCCCACACATAAAATATATACAATCAAAAATTAGTAGAACCATTAGTATTATGTATCGAACTCGCCCATACTTAAATTCACATAGTCTAAAGCTTATATACTTCAGCTTAATTCATTGTTACATTACTTATGCAAATATTACGTGGGCAAGTTGTCCACCAACAAAACTTAAAAAAATTCTTTCCTTACAAAAACATGCTTGTAGAATTATATACAACAAAAAAAGGGGGGACCACACTAAACTTTTAATGATGGATATAAAAATGATGAACATATATCAGATAAATATTTTCCAACACCTAAACTTTATGTATAAATATACCAATAATCTAACTCCTGAAATCTTCATAAGTAAATTTAATAAAAATTTAAATGAGAAGTATTTCTTAAGAATAAATCAAAGTAACACATATAAATTACCTAAAAAAGTAAACAAATACACAGAATATAGTATAACTTATAGAGGTCCCA